GTCCCCATGTCCCCCTCACCCTGAGATCCTGCTGGGGAGGTCCCCATGTCTCCCCTGCCCCAGGATGCTGCTGGGGGGTCCCCAAGTCCTCCTTCACCCTGAGATGTTGCTGGGGGTCCCCACCTTCCCCCTTACACAGAGATGGGGGTCCCCATGTCCCCTTCACCCTGAGATGCTGCTGGGGTTCCCCATGTCCCCCTCACCCTGAGATGCTGCTGGGGTTCCCCATGTTCTCCCTCACCCTGGGATGCTGCTGGGGTTCCCCATGTCTCCCCTGCCCCAGGCTGGTGCTGGGGGGGGTCCCCAAGTCCCCCTTCACCCTGAGATGCTGCTGGGGGGTCCCCACTTTCCCCTTACACAGAGATGGGGGTCCCCACGTTCCCCTCACCCAGGGACACTGCTGGGGAGGTCCCCATGTCCCCCTCACCCAGGGACACTGCTGGGGAGGTCCCCATGTCCCCCTCACCCTGAGATGCTGCTGGCGAGGTCCCCATGTCTCTCCTGCCCCAGGATGGTGCTGGAGGGGTCCCCAAGTCCCCCTTCACCCTGAGATGCTGCTGGCGAGGTCCCCATGTCCCTCCTGCCCCAGGATGGTGCTGGAGGGGTCCCCAAGTCCCCCTTCACCCTGAGATGCTGCTGGCGAGGTCCCCATGTCCCTCCTGCCCCAGGATGGTGCTGGAGGGGTCCCCAAGTCCCCCTTCACCCTGAGATGCTGCTGGCGAGGTCCCCATGTCCCTCCTGCCCCAGGATGGTGCTGGAGGGGTCCCCAAGTCCCCCTTCACCCTGAGATGCTGCTGGCGAGGTCCCCATGTCCCTCCTGCCCCAGGATGGTGCTGGAGGGGTCCCCAAGTCCCCCTTCACCCTGAGATGCTGCTGGCGAGGTCCCCATGTCCCTCCTGCCCCAGGATGGTGCTGGAGGGGTCCCCAAGTCCCCCTTCACCCTGAGATGCTGCTGGCGAGGTCCCCATGTCCCTCCTGCCCCAGGATGGTGCTGGAGGGGTCCCCAAGTCCCCCTTCACCCTGAGATGCTGCTGGCGAGGTCCCCATGTCCCTCCTGCCCCAGGATGGTGCTGGAGGGGTCCCCAAGTCCCCCTTCACCCTGAGATGCTGCTGGCGAGGTCCCCATGTCCCTCCTGCCCCAGGATGGTGCTGGAGGGGTCCCCAAGTCCCCCTTCACCCTGAGATGCTGCTGGCGAGGTCCCCATGTCCCTCCTGCCCCAGGATGGTGCTGGAGGGGTCCCCAAGTCCCCCTTCACCCTGAGATGCTGCTGGCGAGGTCCCCATGTCCCTCCTGCCCCAGGATGGTGCTGGAGGGGTCCCCAAGTCCCCCTTCACCCTGAGATGCTGCTGGCGAGGTCCCCATGTCCCTCCTGCCCCAGGATGGTGCTGGAGGGGTCCCCAAGTCCCCCTTCACCCTGAGATGCTGCTGGCGAGGTCCCCATGTCCCTCCTGCCCCAGGATGGTGCTGGAGGGGTCCCCAAGTCCCCCTTCACCCTGAGATGCTGCTGGCGAGGTCCCCATGTCCCTCCTGCCCCAGGATGGTGCTGGAGGGGTCCCCAAGTCCCCCTTCACCCTGAGATGCTGCTGGGGTTCCCCATGTTCTCCCTCACCCTGGGATGCTGCTGGGGAGGTCCCTATGTCTTCCCTGCCCCAGGCTGGTGCTGGGGGGGGTCCCCAAGTCCCCCTTCACCCTGAGATGCTGCTGGGTGTCCCCACGTTCCCCCTTTTACCCAGGGACTCTGCTGGGGGGGGGTCCCCACATCCCCTTCACCACGGGATGCTGCTTGGAGTTCCCACATCCCTCTTACCCCAGGATGCTGGTGGGGGGGGGCCAAGACCCCCTTCCCCCCCCTCCCCAGCACCGTGTCTGCAGCTCCTCTTTCCCCGCAGAGCACAGGGCTGGAGAGGGGCCGGGTTCAGACTCGGCCGGGGGGGTCCAGCCCAGACACCCCCTTCCCCTCAGCTCCCTCCCCGAGGACGTCAGGATCCAAACCCTGGCCCTGGTGCAGCAGCTCTGGCAGGACCGGCTGGACGCCCACCACCTCCTCACCCAGCTCCAGCACATCCTCGACCTGGTGAGAGCCACCAACTCACGGTGCTTGAGGGGTGGGGGGGGGATCCCCACGGTGCCCGGGACCACCCCCCAACACCCACGGTGCCATTTTTTCCCCCAGATGGAGACCGTACGAGAAAGCTTGGAGGGGCCACTCCATGAGAGCCGGGAGCCGTGGGGGCACAGGAACGTGGTGCAGGCCACCCCCTGCCCACACTTGGCCTGTCCCCGCTGCCGGGCGAGGCTGCCCAGGGGGTCTGGGACCCCCACGGTGCCACGGGTGCTGGCCGTGGGTCGGATGCTGGTGCAGCGGGTGCAGGACACCGTGGTGCAGGCAGCGTGGGGAGCCCAGCGTGGCGTGGCCAAGCTCTGCCGTGCCATCAGCAGTGCCAGGTCCCTGCCAGAGCTGCTGGGGACCGTGGTGGCCCGAGGACGCGAGGTGGTGGCCCAAGCTTGGGACACTCTGGTGGTTTTTGTGCTCCAGCACCTGACTTTGCTGCGGTTGGAGGGTGCCGGACGAGCAACCCCACGCATCGCCCCACAGCACCCCCAAAAGTAAGGGTGCCCCACATCCAACTGGGTCTGAACCCCCCCACCCCATCCCGGGTGGCACTAAAATGGCTCTGCCCACGTTCATGTCCGTGTCTTGGTGTTATTCTGTCCCCCCCCACGATGATTGATGGGGGCTGCAACAGCCCAAGGCAAAGGAAGAGTTTTGGGGAGGGGGGGACACACACACACAGATGGCCAGACCTTGTGTTGCCTTTAAATCCCTGCCATCCCAAGGAGGGGGGGGGGGCTCACAGAAGCTTCCCAGCAGTTGGGCAAGAGGCACAGAGGGCTGGTTTTTTGTTGTTTTGCTGGGGTTTTATTTGGGTTTTGTTTACAGAGGGCTGGAGCGTGAAATCAGCCCTGGAAAAAGAAAAAGAAAAAACAAACCCTTCTCCCCAGGGCAGAGTTGCAGCAACAGCAGCCTCAAAGGTGGTGGT